TTTTATTATTTGTAAGCTGTGTGTGATACATCTGTTCTATCAGTACAACCATGTTAAACTTACGCACACACATGCAGACTTTTTTCAGGGAGCCAGTTATTACACACTTCCCGGCACTGGCAATGTGGGACGCTGGCTCTGGCATGGTCAAGAATAATGTGGATGCCTGAGTTTGGAGACCTATGTCAGTATAAACCATGCTTTAGGGGAAAGAGAAATTTAGTGGAGAGAACACAGGATGGGGCCAGTGCCTGACTCTAACCCTCTTCAAAAGCTCTGCAAATGAGGAGGCTGGATCAGATCCGTGTTTTTAAGTTTTGTGACTATGAGTCAAAAACACATTATAGTCACAACCCAGTTCAGATATGTGGGTGTGCAAAACAAAAGTTTCATGAAACAATACCCTGAACATGCACAGTGATCTCCGGTATCTTTATAATTTGATTCAATCCTATTCATCTTGTTCTCCATTCAGTTTTGTAAAATGCTGGTCATAATCACGAAATTAATTTTACAACCCACTCAAGGGTCTCAGCCAGCTATGTGTAAAAAACGACAATAACTTGACAACGAGGTGATTGCTAGGGTACAGCCTGTGCCTCCCTGAGGGTCTCTGACTCCTGACACCTGCAGTCTTTGCACTGCAGGGTTCCTGGACACCAGGCCTTGCTCTGATGGACAGACAGCAGGTAAGGACATTTGGAAACTCTTCAGCTCAGGCCCTTATTGTCTTTCTGGAACTGTCACACAGTCTCCTTGACCATCTCCCTTTATCTGTTAAAAGGATAAAGTTTCATTGGACTATTTATTGGTCTTCTCCTGATAAGAAGCTGTGAAAGGTTTTTCTTCACCTGTTAAGTAATCCATCCAGAAAGCAAAGGGTCTGTGTTTTATCAAAATAATTTCCCGTGCTTAATGTTATCTTAATCAGATCTTTGATTATTTAAGAGAACGGAATTATTTAATTTTAAAAGAGCTAACTTTTGCTCACAACTATGTAACCATTTCTATTTGTCAGTGATCATTCTTGCAATTCCACAGAGCCAATTATATCTCACGGAATGCTTCTATTAAAAACTTTCATTGTCACTTTGGTTAAACAGATAACTAAGTATTGTTTCCTAGTGACCTGTGATCCTTATTTAGTCAAGTGTCTAAACCTTTTGATATTTTTGACAAACTTCCCCAAATCAAACTTTAACTAAAGTCTTCTTGACATAAAGTCACTTTGGGATTTTCCAGAGAGCCCTTGGAACATCTCAAAAGATCTTTCTCCTTAAAAACAGAGAGACAGAGGCTTATTGATATGTTAAATTATATGGGAAGCAAGTCAAATAAGACGTAATACTAAGCTTTCTTTATGTTGTATTCATATAGGTATATAAGCATTCCAGAAATTGCATAAATTCCTAAAATTCTGATGTCTGGTATAATCAGTTGTAATTCTAGTTATATAATTCTTAAAATGTCTGTTACAGAAATAACCAAATTTCTTTGTCAACTGCATTATAATGAACCTTAATCAGATCTTTAACCATGGCCATTTTAAGTCTTTTGTCATTCACAGAAGATACGGTTTTACTCTGATGTTTTTGCAAAAGTGTTTAGCAAGTGCGCTTCATATTCAAGGAGATTCATGGAAAGGACTCTGGCAAGCACAGGCTTCTGATAACTTTAAGATCATAAAACTGAACTGGGTAAGAATTTCCAGAACTGATGGAAAAACTGGATTCAAGCAGAACAAGAATTAGTAACAGACTGGATGAACTGATGGGGATGATGATAATTTTTATGACTTCTTGTCTGAAACATTGCTGGTTCTTTAATGTTTTATTTTTTCAGGTTAATTTCTTTAATGTTAATATTAAGGAAACTTTCCTCTTAAGCTACCTAGGAGTTAGAACAATTTGGCAAAGTATACCTTTGTGAATAAAGATGAAATAGTTACTTTTTCTCCTGACCTGATCCCTCCAGAATTTTGAAGCTTAGTGAATGTTCTTTATGGCATTGTATTTATTTACATAAGTTAATAAGAATCTGTTCTCCTTGTAACAGGATACAGTTGGAAACATTGATTATATTATCAAAGCTTTGGCTGGAATGTCAGATTTGAGACAATGCATAGAATCAATATGATAAGACAACTTCAAGTAACTAAGGTTGACTTTATAGAGACAATAGAGTCCCTTGGAAAAACAGCCTGGTACCTTGCTTATAGGATTCCTGACAGCCTTACCAGGTGAGAAAGGAAGGTCACTTCCTGGCAGGTACAGGAGCCTCAGGATATTTGGGGGACCTCAAGAAGAGAGGAATTAACTTAAATCTCTAAGTATTACAGGCAAAATGTGATGGAAAGTCTTTGGCTTGGCTTCCTGGGCTCAAGACGCTTTTAAAAGTTCAATCTGTGATTCCTTATGAAAAGTTCCAGTAAAGAAGATTTAAAAGAGCCTATAACGTCGATTGCTATTCTTGTTAAACTTATGTAAATAATTGGGTCAAGTTCATTGAAACTAGACTATTTTGTGAACAGACTAGTCTTCTTTTGGCTATCTTTGATAGAAATGGGGTGATTTTAAAAAAATTATGTTTCAGTAGAAACTATAATACACACTTCTAGATATTAGATTCTAGTTCTGTTAATTGTCTTCAACGTTTCGTTTTTTCACCTGTAAACTGGACTGCTTCCTGAGTTTCAGTTTCCTCAAGTATCTGGCTATAAATCTCCAAACTAATGTTTCCCATTTTCTGCCACCTTTTTGACTTGGAATCACTAAGAACAAAAGCTGCTGCCCTTCTCCCCGAAACCCTGCAAACTGAATGTGAATGGCTTGATGTAAACTTCAGAGAAGTCATCACACCAGCTCTCACTGAGACAATAGTTGTGCCTGTTGCTGTGTGGGCCACTCAGAAAGTGTACCTGAACACCTGATGACATCATCAGAGACATTCACTCTGCAAAAGATGTTTTTGACCCTAACACTTAGAAATTTTCTTGACCAGCTGCCTTCTGGGCTCATACACTGCTTAAGAGTCTGCTCCAACCATTAAGCTTTGGTGTTCTGTCTCCATAGAAATGCCTCTTATGAAATACCTGATTGCCTGCACCACACAGGCCTACCTGTGAGACCACCCGCCTGTGAGACCACCTCCTGAAACAAGACACAGCTCTTTAACTGAACCAACCGAGTCTCAGTACTGAGGCAGGTTCAGTGAGACGCAGCAAGTTGTCAGCTCAGCTTCTGGACTGTGAAACTGTTTGAGACGCTTCAAAGGTGGGATGAAGGAGGGCAGAATCTGTTACCCTAAGATGCACCTCTTCAGCATAAGGATTATTTTAAGATGGTTGTTTTTAAGAAACTGTAGGCAGAGGAGAAGCTTTGAAAATTGAGCAGAAGTTCCCCTTTTGTAGGAGACATTTACAGGTACAGGGGAAATCTCCACTTGTAAATCTACATTTGGGATCTTCTTTACTGTACCAGAAATGGTAGATAAGGTAGACAAGGTAAAATGACCCCATCTCTAGAAACTCTTACCGATGCAGAAAACAATGACTTAAATCTGCATAACGACCTTACCTTTGTTTACTGTACTTTTCCTGTAACCTCCCATAACTGAGTCCCCACCCCCAACATCTTCTTTTGTCTTTAGCTGAAGGTGCTATTTAAGGTGACAGCTTCAGCCATTTGGGGGGGCTACTCAGTTTTCCTGGGTACCTCCCATGTACACAGGAGGTGTACATGTTATTAAACTTCTGTTTGTTTTTCTCCTGCTAATCTTTTTATCACAGGGGTGTTTCAGTCAAGAACCTAGAAGGGTAGAGGCAAAATTATTTTTCTACCCCCAACAAAAACATCTATCGAAAGTCTAAACAGATAACACTAGGACACCAGAAAGTGATGGCTCTATTTTGGAGTAGCCTTTTCAGCTCTGGGATCATTTAAGATGAAGTGTTCAAGTTTAAATCTTTGAGTAGCACTGACATCTGGACACCCTCAAAGTCCTTTCACATTCTCCTCTCGTATTTACAAAGCTGTGGGTTAGGTAGGACAGGGGTTATTACATCTGATTAACAGATGAGGAAACTGAGGCTTTAAGATTTGCTAGAAACTACAGGGTCAGGTTTCAAACCCAGGTCCTCTAACACCATGTCTGAGTCCTACCCACTCCACTTCAAACTGAAGACGAACAGAAATCTTTTCAGTGACTCGGGAGCCTATCCATAGTTCCTGCCTCTGTGTCAGCTGCCCACAAATTAGCTAAACTATGCTTTCCTCCCAATTTCACGAATCACCAACAGTAAAGGAGATAGTTGCCAGGTTTCTCAGAAAACTAAAAACAGAACTACCATATGACCCAGCAATTCCACTCCTGGGTATGTATCTGAAAAAAACAAATACAGTAACTCAAAAAGATACATGCACCCCAATATTCATAGCAGTGTTACAATTGCCAAGATAAGGAAGCAACCTAAGGGTCCATCAACAGATGATCGGATAATGAATGTATGGACTGGAGCTAAGCCACAAAAAAGAACGAAATTTTACCACTTACAACAACATAGATGGACTTGGAGGGTGTTACGCTAAGTGAAACAAGTTAGACAGAGAAAGTCAAACACTTATATGTGGAATCTAAAAATACAGAAAATTAGTGAATCTAACAAAAAGGAAGCAGACTCACAGACATAGAGAACAAACTAGTGGTTACCAGTGGGGAGAGGGAAGGGGCAAGACAGGGGTAGGGAAGTAAGAGGTACAAACTATTAGGCGTAAAATAAGCCACAAGGACAGGAAATGCAGCCAATATTCTATAATAACTATAAATGGAGTGTAACCTTTAAAAATTTTGAATCACTACATTGTACACCTATAACTAGTACATCAACTATACTTCAATTAAAATTGTTTTTAATTTTTAAAAATTAAAAAAAAAATAGAAGACAGCTGGCAGGAACACGTGGTTGTCCAGCACAACTTGTCTTAAGCCTGACTCTGACTCACCTTGCGTTTGGGAAAAGCATCTTGCTGGAAAAGCACGCGCTGCCTGCAGCCCCGGTGGGCAGCCTGCTTCTCTGGATTGTTCTTTGGGCTTCTCTGGCCTCTTGGTGATGACTGCTTCTGATATTCTGATGTTCTGGCCAGTTCTCTTCATAGCACCTAAAAAAAAACTCAGGGAGAAGGCAAACATCCAGTCAAATATTTACCAGAGAAAAGACAGCAAGCGGGTGGCTTTCTTCCTTGTTTGGGAACACTGCTGGCTATTCTGCTCTCCCGCCCTTCTCCGGCTTCCTCACGCAGAAGCAGGAGCTGCCCCCCTCCCTCCCCCCTCCGGGACCCCTGCTGTCTCCTCCAGCCCCAGCTGGCTGTGGCCCCTGGCTCCTTGAGCCACTGGAGCTCCGCCCAGCAGTCAAGGCCCCTTCAGCTAGCTGTAAAAATGATTACAGGCAATAAAGTAGGACTCTGCCTCAAGGCAATAAATTAGGAAACCAGGACCACTGGCTTCAGGTGTCTCCTCGGAAACAAGGCCATTAGCAGGGAGAAGGGGCTGGAGACAAGTTCAAAACCGAACCCCACCCACGTGGCAGAGCTGGCTAGCTGTCCACCAGGAATTCCTGCTTCCTGGTCATAAAGTGAGGCTGATGCTGGCAAGGGTCTGCCCAGCCAGGGACCGTGCTCCCCAGCCCAGCAGGAAGTCTCAGAACAAAAAAACGGGACCAAAGCTCACCAATGGAATGTGAGCAGAGGTGACGTGAATTACTTCCGGGCCAAGACAGTTAAGACGCAAGTGTGTCTTTTCTGGCTTCTTTTTCCCCACCTACTGGTTTAGGACTCAAAGGCCCTAAAGGAAATGGGATGGAAGAAACCTGGGTCTCTGAGCCACCACGTAGAGGAAGCTGTCCTCTACACCAACTGTTCGTGAACAAGAAACAAAGGTCTATTGTGATAAGCCAGCGATGTGCCAGCTTATTTGCTGTAGCCACTACAGTGTTGCCCTGGCTAACGCAGCACAGAATGTGGAGGAATTGTAAGCATCAGGGTCCAAGTCCTTAATTTTAAGGATAAGAAGATAGAGGTTTAAGGAAGGGAAGTGTACTAACAGGACTGGCCAAGCCTCAGAGCTGTGCCAAGGGCATGAGCATCCATGCTGGCACCACGTGACTCTGCCCCCGAGCACAGCTGACCGGATAGAGGCTGACTGCCTGACCCAAGAGCAGACAGCCACACACCACACTGATCTGTCACCTGGGATGGACACTGCCCCACAGGCCATCCCTTTCCGGAGTCTGACCTCGAGACATAGAACAAGAGCTGAGCATGCGTCAGGGGGACCAAGAACCAAGTAACACCCATAGAGATGCAGGAACCTAAGGAATCATCAAGTCCTGATCAGGGCAGAGCATGCCTCTTGCTGCTGAGAAGGTGTTAAGATTTCCCAGTTACCAGAATGGCCCATGGATTCTAAATGGCCACCCTGTTTCCAAATGATCTTCCAGGGCCAAATGGGAATGGGACCCCAGGTGTCCTTGTCCGTCAATTCCCTGCATCCATCAGCTCCCAGGCCAGCTCATGGCACCACCACACTCTCATCGCCCATGAGTTGTCAGTGGCTCCTCCCCTCCTCTCACTGCGTTCACTCTGTCTCTGGGTAGTTCTTACCTAACCCTTCATCTGTGTGTCAGAGGGTTTGTTCCTCTTTACCCTTGTGCCAGCTTGGAGCTGCTGTTAAGAATGGTGAAGCCACAACATGGAAAGAGCCTGGGTCCCTGAATCAACACTTGAGGAGACTAGGAATAGCCATTTAAGAGCTTACATAAATAAGGAACAAACTTCTATTATATTAGGGCCATTATACGCTTCGGGGTTTGTTTGTTAACAGCAGCTAGTTCTTATTCTATCAATACAACATCCTTTCCATCCACAGGGCTCCTGCCCCAGCTCCAGCCCTCACCACCTCCTGCCTGGACCATCACAAGGGCTCTCTAATGGCCTTTCAGCCTCCAGTGTCCACGCTCAGTGCAGAGATGCATCTCCCTAAAACACAGCTCAGACCTGCCGACCATCCTCCTGTGGTCTGCACTCCCAACTCTGGCTTTCCAAACCCTCCAAGAAGTGGCTTCGACCCTCTTTTCCAGCCTCATCTCCAGTGGTTTCCTGCACATCTATATTCTTTTCAAAGTTGCTAAACATGGCCTTTCATGCTACTCCGGCTCTTTACAGAGCAAGGAACAGAGATCCACTCAAGTTGCCTTGAGTTAAAGGGGTTTCCTACTACTCCCCAGCAAGGGCTGGGGCCCAGCCTGGGAAGGTTCTGGAAACTGAGACCGCTCTTGGGAAAGGTCCCTCCCCATCCCCATGGCCAAGGGATCTCTCTCATCTTTCTCTTTTTTGGCCTTTTTCTTCAATCTTTCCTCTCTCTGGCTCAGCCCCTTTGCTTCCTTAGGGTTTCTGCTCTCTCAGGGCTTCAACTCACCACCCTCCTGACCCTAGCTCATGGTATCCTTTCTTGCTCTCTCCTAGGGCTCCCCCAGTCCTAATGCTGAGACAAGAGACCTGCCCAGTTCATCTTCCCCCAGGTGGGTCTCAGCCAGTCCACGCCTTCCTGTCTTTGGCTCAGTCATACACCCTTGTATCAGCTTGCTGGGGCTGCTGGAACAAAGTACCACAAACTGGGTGCTGAACCAGAACTTCATCTTCTCACAGTTCTGGAAGCTAGAAGCCCAAGATCAAGGTGTCCATAGGTATGGTGTCTCCTGAGGCCTCTCTCCTTGGCGTGCAGACAGCTGCCCTCCCACTGTGTCCTCACAAGGCCCTTGCTCTGTGCACGGGCATCCTGGTGTCTCTCTCTCTCTCTGTGTCCTAATCTCCTCTTCTTATGAGGACACCAGTCAAACTGGATTAGGGCCCACCCTAATGGCCTCACTGTAATTTAACTACCTCTTAAAGGCCCCGCCTCCAAATAAAGTCACATTCTAAGGTATTGGGAGTTAGGGCCTCAACCTATAAATTGGGGGGGACACAATTCAATCCATAACACCCCTGGTCTAATCCACTCCGATGGAGCAGGAGGGGGTCATGAAGGTGGTGAACAGGCACCGTGACTGACAATTCAGGCCACTTGAGTTCACCCACCTCGACCCCTCAATCCTGCATAGACAGCCCCTCCCACCTCTGCTTCTCACCACCAGTTTTGTTCATTAAGCCCCACCTCAAGCACAACATCCCGCCTGCAGTGTCTCCTGATCACCATGGTGTAATCCTATTGGCTTGGCCTGCATTTCTTTCATGGTGCACATTTAGGCCTTCTTTATTTGTTCCTTTAGCACATATCTATGGAGAATCATTCTGGGGCAGCGGTTCAGAGTGTGGACTCTGGGGCCAACGCCACCATTTACCACCTGTGCGATGCTGGCCACGTGACACTGTTAACCCCTCTGATCCTTGGTTTTATCTGAGATAAGCTATACCTACTTCATGGCATACAGGATGAAATAGGCTAATATAAATAGCGCAGGACGATGCCTGACACACAGTAAGCACTCAGTGAACATTAGCAATTACAGGGGACCTATTCTGTGCCGGGCACTGACTGGGATGGGGAGCACACAGTCACATCCCAGTTCACCATGTCCATGTCCCAGCGCCCTTACTGGATCACAGCAGCTTGGAAACCATGACTAGACCTGATGCAACATGACAACTTGGATACAGGTGAGGCCCCATTGATGCTTGTTCTCAAAATTGAAAATGATGAAAGAGAAATACAAGGACCAGTCCAACAAAACTCTCTTACTGGACCCCTAGGAACAAAGAAGCCCTGTCAGTGTGTCCCCCTGAAAGCAGGCCCCCTCCTTCACAGAAGGAGCAGTTAGTTCTTGGTGCATCCCCATCACACCATCCACAGAAAGAACTGCAAAGCTCTTCTCCTTCGGCCACATGGAGATGCCATCACTTCCGGGATCACCCATCTGCCAGGGGCTTCCTGGCTCCACCACCCAGGCTTCAAACACATGCTTTAAATTCTTGGGTTCTCATGGTGGTTTCCCTCACAATTCTACAATTCCTTTCTCATACCATTAAGGAAGAGTTATTGAAAAGGCCACCAATGGCCCTGGGGTGTTGGGAAGGCAGCCACGTCACAGTGGAAGAAAAGCTAAGACTCTTGTTCTAAATGCTTATGCTCAGCAGTTTCATTCATGGTAATAAGGACCCATTTCTAAGTGGCCACCATACTCCAGACAAGGCCCCTTGAACCTGGAGACAACCCTGTGTGAGACACTTCACTTCCCTCTCTCACGCTTTCTCATTTCAGTGTCGAATCTAAACGGAGAACTTGACATGTATTTGTAGACCATTTCAACATTTGATTTCTGTCTGCCATTCTAACCTATGCAAGCCTTTTTTGAATATTGCTTCTTCTAGCCAATGCTTTGGGGCATTTGAATACTTTTGCTGAGTTCATCCAGGTTATTTACCAAAGCATTAAAGAGAACAGAGCCCTATAGCACTCCACCAGAGACCTCTTTCTAGGAGCCATGCAATGGTGCTACAGTTGACAGAAAGTGAGGAAGAGATGACTGAGTATACCAGAATCCAGGTTAGGAAGACTTACTCTATTTGAGCCCTGCGTTTGGCAGGGTCCAGAGTTCTGGAGGCAGGACAGAAGGAAATTCAGCAGTGCATCACAAAGGCCATGCTTGTCTCCCAAGTGCTGACCGCTTATCACAGGACAGCCTCGATTTCTTCTATAGACACTGGGCTTAATTATTTAATTTAGAAACAAGGAACCCAGAAGACTCAGTGCAATTTCTTCCTTAAGTAATATGGTTGGCTTTCTGGAACAGGTATGACCCTTGACTAGGGACAGTATTTCTTATTTAGAAAAAAAATGAAACTATCCTATATTCCCATCCTGTCCCCCTTCTGTCACAAACAGCTTTGGCTCCCCCTGCTGGCAGAATAAAAACAAACTCCTTTGCTGGGCAAATATTCCGCAACTTTTATGATCTGGCCCCAATTTATCTTCCCAGGCTAGTCAACTCTGGAAAAGTCCACAGGAGATCTGGACTCACCTCTCAGGTGCCATCCACCTCCCCTCCTCCCCCATTCATTCAGATCACAAGATTTACAAAGTACCTGTGTGCCAAGAAGTATGGTAGTCCCTGAGGACAGATGCCCTAGAGATACACCTTGTGCCCTCTTCCCAAGTCGGTCAAGATCCTGTCCTAAGCACAGTGTCCTCCCTGAGGAGGTTTTGGTGCTTTGCAACTTATC